TAATTCTATGTCATTTTATCCTCTATTTACTTATTTTAATTTGCAATATTTGTTCATTTTACATTTATTATTATTGTTAATTCTAATTTTTTTATTATTTTCTAGTGACATATTTTGTTGTTGCACTTGTTTTTTTAGGTCTGTAGTGTCATTGAGCTTCTCATTCTGTTGATGGTAATATAGTCTCTTATCCTTGACTTTATTGAATTCATTTTTAATTGAAATATCTGTAGAAACACTCTTTGTTCAGCTAAATGGGTGTGTTTTTTTTTATTAGTCAATTTCTCATATTTTGTGTGTTCCAACTATATCTCCATTTGGATTCATAGCATTTTTCATGGAGTCCATAGGTGGAGAAGGAGCTGCTCAGAAGCTTATTGGCATTGCCAAATTCATTCTGTGGTTTTGTTACCTTCATTTTTGACAGAGAGCACCTGCCACATGGTTTACTTCTACAGTTTCTTCCTAGTTTGCTTTTTGCTATATATAGGGGAAATTAATGAAAATGGGCATTTTTTTTGATGTATCAATATTGAATATAGGAGGAAATGGGAGAAGGTGTAGAGAACCATATTCTTGGTCTTGTTTGGGAATCTTCAGTTTTTTCTCATGGTTATTGTTTTTGTAGTTTGATATGATATATGTTCTTTCTATGCTTAGGTGCTTTAGGGCAAGGTGAGGCAAACTACAGTCTGCAGGTCAAAAATGACCCACCTATTTTTGTAAATAAAGTGTTACTGGAACACAACCATGCCTGCTCATTAGTGAATTATCTGTGGCCTTCTTCATGTTTCAGAGAGATGGTTGAGTAGCTGTGACAGAGACCATATGGCTGGCAAAGCTTAAAATATTCACCCTCTGCCCTTTACAGAAAAGTTTATAAAACTCTGACATAGGGTAATTTTATTTTTCTTGCAGAATTTTGTTTAATTTACTTTCATTTTCTTAGAAGTTATGGGGGAGAGAGTAGGAATTCTCTTTGTTATAATATCTTGTCATAGAAATTGCTATTATGATGGTTTTTGAAAGATTCATATAATAAAACAACTATTATATTTCTTATATCAAAATGTTTAAAATTAAAAAAAAATTAGTTGAATTTGTTTGGTTTATTTTGACACAACAGTTGTGATATCCTACGAGGCCATCATCTACCAATAAATTATTTATATTATTCCTTTTTAATCTTGTCTTTTGTTTCTGATATGACTAATGCAGTTACTTAATTATGGTTCATCTTTTTGGAAGACTATTTAATTTTTAACTTATTTTCTTTTGCATTTTTTTCAAAGGTATAAGAAGTTTAGCCAGATATTGAGTGACATTGGAGAGAATGAAGGCGGAATTGATAAGTTTTCCAGAGGCTATGAATCATTTGGCATCCACAGATGTGCTGATGGTGGCTTATACTGCAAAGAATGGGCCCCAGGAGCAGAAGGAGTTTTTCTTACAGGAGACTTTAGTAAGTATTTTGAAATCATTGAAGTCAGTAGAATTTTATTTCTCTATTTAAAACTTAGATATATATTTTATGTATAGAATATATAAAGATTCATAACTGCACTATTAGATAGTTATTTGTAATTATCAAATATTTACCTTTGTGTAGTAGAACTGCTTCTGCTATAATATGATACGTACATCCTGAAAAACTTTATGTGTTGTAATAACATGTACCAGAAATAAAAAGGTTTATAAGAAAAATTATATTAGGGTTTTTGCTCCAAATTTACTCAAGTAAATTGACAAGTTTGACAAAACCAATAGCAAGTGGGTGAAAATACTGGCATAAAGCCTCTCTAGCATTTGCACCTGAATTGTTGGCATCAGAATTCTTGGATGGATACTCCTTAGCCTTATACCTTTTTTTTTTTAATCTTTAGTAAAAGTAAACATTTAGTCTAGAGGGTAACCTTTATCACTCAAATATTTATAGTTTTCCTGTTTCCATAACACTATGGGAAATTTCT